TAAAATGATGTAATAGTTGTGATCATTATTTTACCTTCCATGATCATTCAGACTTGATCAGGTGCAGTACTTACACTCTGTCAAGTCTGCATCAAATCAAGCACTCCGTAATCACAGTTAAACCTGTCTGATCAGTCAGGTGTTTGTCATGAGAAGTGTTCCACAAAACAGCTATGGTTTGCAGACAGTTATAAGAGTTGATGTTACAAATACATCTTTTGAATATACTGTGTGAACTCATTGCCCCGTTAGCTTGGAGAGCTTTATTTTCCCTCCTCAATAAGTTCTGTCAGTTGTTTTGTTTATTGGTCTAATTCTTGTTTCTTGGGTTGCATTGGTTAGTCACTCAATTAATTCTCTTGTGCTTCGTTCCCCACTTCTGAATAATGTTGTATTGATAAGGAGTTATCACAAAGTAAGTCTGTTTAGTTGCGCTATCTTACAATCAGTATATAGTAAATGTAAGTTAAAGTGTCGCCGATGTAACCGGTTAAAACTTGGCGATGAGGTCTTAAAATGTATGGAAAGAGGCTTAAAAAAGGTCTTAAAAGGTATTAAATTTAACTCCATGATTCCTGTATATACCCTGGTGTCACATGATCCTTCAGAAATAATTCTAATATGCTGATTATTTTCAATGTTGGAAACAGTTGTGCTGCTTAATATTTTTTGGAACCAGTGATACTGTAATTTTTCTGGATTCTTTGATTAATTAAAAAGTTAAAATGCATTTATTAAAAATAGAAATATTTTCTAACAATATAAGTTTTATTTATTATATATTTATTATTTTACTATCGCTTTTTTTATCAATTTAACACAACCTTGCTGAATAAAAGTAGTAATAAAAAAAAAGAGAAAAAATTTACCGACCCCAAACTTGTGAACAGTAGTGTATATATTGTTACAAGAGGCTATATTAAAAAACATAAAAAATTATATTTATTTTAACATTTTTTTATTTTATTTCAATTTTGTATGTGCATGGTTGACACTAAAGCAATACAATACCAATATGAGCAATTAAAATAAATGCAGACCCTTCCCCATGCATAAAATTTAATCAGAGCATGGTCTGTATTTAGCATAATAGCATTGACGTCCCACATGCAGTAGTATAATTTTGTGTTGAGACTCATTAACGCTCCTTTTCTATCTACTCTCAGCTGATGTCATGCGTCCTCCGAACAAACACAAGCGTCCCAAACCAGAAGACACATCCGACAGCTACGGCTCCCAGCCGGGCAACTACTGGTCACTTCTCGGCCCCACAGGAGCGCCTCATTCCTCCTGGCCTTCCTCAGAATCCTCTCAGCCCCTGCCGTCCAACATCGGCTTTGTGCCGCCCATGGCAGTGCCCATGCAAACGGCCCCTTACTTCACCGTGGTCGGTGCGGATCAGCAGCCCATGGTGGTCCAGCCTGACCAAGGTGTCCAGAACCTCCAACCCATGCATCCCATGATGGTCGTCCTGCTTCCTAGCTACCCCATGTACCCCGGTAACAATGGCATGTACCTGCAGGAGATGCCCATCCCGGCGCCCGGAGTCGTTCCCCAGCCTCCCTTTAATATGGGCGGCTACGTCCCACCTGGTGGACACCTGCCACATGGGTCTCCGTCGCAGGGCCATCCTCCAGGTCCCACCGTCACAGGAGTCGGGATGGCACAGGTCAACTCAATACCCGCCCCTTGGTTTGGGGAAGACCTTCATGCAGCACAGCCCACGGCACTCTTCTCCAGCTCTCGCTCCAGCTCGCCCATCCAGCTGAACTTACTCCAGGAGGAGCTGACCAAGCCCACCGAAGCCCAGAACAGCACCGGTCCAGAGAGTCTGCATGAACACCACGCCAAAGCGGTGAGACCAACTGACATCGAAAGTTGAAATACCCTGAGGCGTGACATGATTTACTCCATCTGAAGCTATTTTAAATATTTTTGTAATTATTATGCATGCAGTTTTTATGACCTCATATTAAGTTTTTGTTAATCATTAATAAAATACTCCATTATATACTACATTTTTAAGTAAAATGTTAAAATATATATTTAATTCTTATAAAATTTAATAAAATAAAATAAAATAAAAGGGGCTTGAGAGACCAATTTTTATTTGATTTATTATTATTAATGTACTTTTAAAAAAAAATTGTAAAAGTTAAAACAAAATTTAAAAAAGTAAAATATTTTTCAAATATTTGTAAAAATTCATGTGAAAGGGCTGTAAGAGACAAATTATGTCACTATATTAAAGATTATTAAAATACTTAAAATATGTTGGTAAAATGCATTCGAAATATATAATTAAAATATCAAAAGTTTATATAAGGGCGTTAAAGGTCTAGTTATGTTGCTATAATATTTATTACAATTAAGTGAAATATTAAAATCGAATTAAAATATATTAACATTCTTGTAAAAATTAATATGAAAAGTAATTTTTTAATGTAAAATATTAAAATATGTAGAATGTATATTTTGTACAAATTAATTGGAAAGGGCCTTGAGAGACCAAATATGTTGTTGTGTGTGTGTGTGTGTGTGTGTGTTTGTGTGTATATACAAACAAACACACACACAGCCTACAAAATACTTGTCGTGAAAGGGTTTTAATTAAGCAATTATGCATACTTCTGTAGTTTGCTTTTTTGCTTAATACTTATCTTCATTTAGCTTCATACTTAATGATTAGTAATTAGTTTTACTAATTATGAAGCTGAAGTGCAAATGAAGTGAATGGATTAATCAGCATGTCCGTTTCTCTGCTCAAAGGAGGACGCTCCCAGCGAGTCGGGTAACCAAGACGCCCATTCTAGCTCCAGTGAAATGCTTGGCCAGTTGCTACAGGAGGACGCCCGCTCAGGAACAGGCTCAAATGCCTCGGGCAGTGGCTCCGGAGAGTCGGGAGGCTCTCTGGGCTCTGGGTCAGGACTCGGTTCTAACGGAACATCCACCAGCCATACAGGTGCTGATCAAAATTAATTATACATGACACTTAATGTTGAGTGGAGAGAATTATGCATGTCTTTTTTGCATTGAATTTCCATTTCAATTTTTTTAGGCAAGTTTATTTATATAGCACATTGCATACACAATGGTAATTCAAAGTGCTTTACATAAAAGGAAGTAAAGGTACTATACTTTTTTTTAGGTACTATAATAGATCAACCTATCTAGTGTTTGAACTAGTGATAGGTTAATTAGTAGTCAGTTAGCTGCACCATGTTTCTCTCCTTTGAGATTACTGGCATTGGTCAAACAGAAATGGTATTTCATCTTTGTGTCAGTCAGTAATTCCTTGAAACAATATTTTAAAATAATTTTTAAATAGTATTTAATAATATTTTATTAAATTAATATAAATGTAATAATATGTTTAATATTAATATGTAAATATATAGTATTTTGTTCATTTATACTTTTACATTTCGAGTGAAATATTGTGTAAAATACACTGAACAAAATTATAAACGCAACACTTTTGTTTTTGCCCCCATTTTTCATTTTTTCTATGCACAAAAGGCCTATTTCTCTCAAATATTGTTCACAAATCTGTCTAAATCTGTGTTAGTGAGCACTTCTCCTTT